ACAATTTACATTAATCTTATACTCAAAATCAATAAAGTAAATTTTACACTACATTTATTTTAAACCGAATTTCATTCAAATACAGGGTGTGGTAAATCAACTCGAGTTGGATTAGAGTCAAGACCAATCTTGATAATTGATTTGGGTATACAACTTTGCAACCAAAATTCATCGAGTCATGCACAGTGCATTTTTTATGTTTGAGGTAGATATTTTTTTATTGCCACTAATGAGTTTTTTATCATAATGATAAATAAATATCTTACACATAAGAAAATGTGTACTTTTTTCGTCACAAATATTATAATTATATCAAGTGTTTTATTATTATTTTTGTTAATAAATATTTAAAATCACTTAACCTATCAATCAAATCAAAACAGCCAAAACAACAAAATAACTTATCGAAGATCTTAATTATGTTTTGATAGTTGGATTGGCCCAACAATAAATATTATTATTATTTAGGTAGTAAGAACCTAAAATATTTTGTAAAATACGTAGGCTATTTTTAATATTAGATGTTTATTATGAGGTTGATAGATGAAGATTTAGTACCTACTTTTACTACTTTTAGAGGCGTTAGATAAAAAATCAAATTTTATCAATTTTGTTTTATCGCGTTTTATTCGTGTTCAATAATCAAGTCACTTAATATTTGAAACTTAACGAAAGACAAAAATAATCATGTTACAAATCTTGGTCGTAAATACAACTCCCTAACTCTCCACTTAAAAACTAATTAACTGATATTGGTCACTAATTCGTGGAAGACGTTTAGTTTGGTGATACACGTTATATCTTCAACATTACTACTGTCTTAATGAATGAAATAATTAAATTTTTGAGTAAATAATTGACTTGCGAATTTCCAGCTTGTGGATTTTATCAATAGTCAATTTATTGCATAATGTTTTATATCACAATTTTGTTGATATTAGTCGACATTTAATTTAAAATTGAACACATAAATAAATAGTGTTGGGGCTGATGTGCTGTCATACATAGATGTACCCTACTTATTTATTTATTTATTTANGTAGAATACAATGACCCCTAAAAGTACAATTCATAAGTAATGCCATTGGCCAATATTGGCAAACATTTGGTGTCAGCTAAATCTCAAAAAAGATTCGTATCACGTAATTTGTCAAGATTAAACCTCACTTACATTGATCATAAACTCAAATTCATTCAAGTTACACCGTACTACATTGATTTTAAACTGAATTTCATTCAAATACAGGGTGTGGTAAATCAACTCAATTTGGATTAGAGTCAAGATCAATCTGTCAATGATAATTGATTTGGGTATACAACTTTGCAACCAAAATTCATCGAGTCACGCACAATGCAATTTTTTATGTTTGAGGTAGATCATTTTTTATTGCCACTAATGAGTATTTTATCATAATGATAAAGAAATATCTTACACATAAGAAAATATATACTTTTTTCGTCACAAATATTATAATTATATCAAGTGTTTTGTTATTATTTTTGTTAATAAATATTTAAAATCACTTATCCTATCAATCAAAACAGCCAAAACAACAAAATAACTTATCGAAGATCTTAATTACGAGTATGTTTGATTGTTGGATTGGCCCAACAATAAATATTAATATTATTTAAGTATTAAGAACCTAAAATATTTTGTTAAATACGTAGGTTATTTTTTGATATCAGATGTTTATTATGAGGTTGATAGTTGAAGATTAGTATCTACTTTTACTACTTTTAGAGGCGTTAGAAAAAAATCAAAAATATTATCAATTTTGTTTTATCGCGTTTTATTCGTGTTCAATTATCAAGTCACTTTATATTTGAAACTTAACGAAAGACAAAAATAATCATGTTACCAGTCTTGGTCGTAAATACAACTCCATAACTCTCCACTTAAAAACTAATTAACTGATATTGGTCACTAATTCGTGGAAGACCTTTAGTTTGGTGATACACGTTATATCTTCAACATTAGGTACTACTGTCTTAATGAATGAAATAATTAAATTTTTGAGTAAATAATTGACTTGCGAATTTCTAGCTTGTGGATTTTATCAATAGTCAATTTATTGCATAATGTTTTATATCACAATTTTATAGATATTAGTCGACATTTAATACATTAATACATTAATACATAAATAAATAGTGTTGGGGCTGATATGCTGTCATACATAGATGTACCCTACTTATTTTACCAATGTTAATTTTGTTAGTCTGAAATGCTTACCTTTTGCCTCTGGTCACCATTTATTTAAACGATGATGACAATATTCAAGTTAATAGTGATAAAAATACTTTTCGTATTCGTCATACAAAATGAAAAGCGACGGCGCAAAATAACTAAATTGTTGCAAAATACCCAATACAACTACGAGTAAATAGTTATTATCCTAGAATTTAGCTTGATATAATGTATGTACTCTAGGTACATAGGTACTAGCAATGACATGACATCACTGGCGCCCTCACACCTCCGCGATGACGGAACCTTTATCATTGGATTATCATTATTTCCATTATCGTTGGCGCCTTTCTTGCAATGAAATATTTAGTCAATGATTCAGTGATAAATTGTAAATTACCTTTGCTGGATTATCATGAGGAAATTTGTGTTAAAATTAGCTCATTTTGCAATATTAAAAAGCGCCATGTCATTAATCAATCCATTACTATAGATTACTATACATTTTATAACTGAAAGATAGTGAAGAATTTTGCATATTGTACCTATGCAAAATTCTTGCTTCATTTTGGAAAGAACAAAATCTAAAGTTCGCTACAGCTTCTGCATTAGTTCTGTTGTTTAACCAAACTTAAAACATGCAGCGCTAAATCGCTTACATGAATGTCAAACTCACGCTAAAAACTTGTAAAACTCATTTTATTTTTGCAAGTAGGCTTTTATAAAGCACTTTTACATGTCCCAGAATTAACCCTACCACTGCTTCGGGAAAATAAATGGGTCAGTGCTGAGAAGAAGCAGCGCAAGTAAGGTGCACGGATTGCAATGCAGCTTAGTTGAACAGAGCGAGTGTTCGAATCGCAAAATCTAGTGTGTAATACATATTTCAATGTCCTTTACTAAATTACCTACTGAATTGACAATAATCTCACCTACTTCCCATGTACAAGTATTATCGGCTACAGTTCCAACTACCCATTTCCGTTTTTTTTCTCTCGCTCTCATCAAATGTTGATTCTTTGCGATAGAACGAGACGACATGACTGGAAATGTAGCCGATAGTACTTTTCCTCCCTATTCATTTCAAGGAGATGTGGATTGGGTGCCACAAACGGAGGAGTTGGCCTATCAGCGTCAGCTCCATTGCACATGCGCGCGGCCATCTTTGATTGTGCTTCTTCAATGGCCGCCTTTGATGTGTCCAAAACTGATTTAAATGACAAGGAAGTGCTGAGATTCTTGCTTGTTGGGAACTGGTGCAATTGTCGGCCTTTGTATACACTATTTACTTGCCTCTTTTGATAAAGCAGGGTATTGTTGAGATGAATATGATTTATTGCGGAAAAAAGTGTTGACCACGTAGTAGGTATGCGAAAATCAAAGTATCCACCACTTTGAGGCATGGGTTACTCAATACGAGTATCTAGTAAATTGGTCACACACAGTATTTTTCAGGTATTTTACCTGGTGTTAAATGAGATGCAGTCTAGGATGGTACATAATTATCTGCCCTATAAGTATCTATTCACTCTCGCCTTGAAAAGGCCCGGATTATAGTGTTCAGGAAAGACAGCAGCAGGCAGCGAATTCCAGACCCTAGCTGTTCGCATTAAAAAGAGTTATTGAGTTCGTATAGTCTGTACAACTCTGGGTAGGGACTATTCCCACCTCTCGTTCCTACCACTGCAACTCCTGTGTAGCCAGGATCTACGGCTTGACCGCCACAAAAACCCAACCAATGAAGGTCAAGTTTGTCCCGGAGGAAAGTTAAATTGTCATTGGACCCGCAATGAATTTAATCAGAAGAACATAGGAGGAGTTCGAAATTAAGGTTCGACTTCCTCCATTTCAAAGCGGATGACAGGTGACAAACAAAGGTTTAAAACCTTTAAGATTATGCACCACGGACAATAAATGTCAATTAAGGGGGCCTATCTTATGAGCAATTAGCAACTACCTGCCAATAATATTTTTCACAAAATCGCTTAATAGCACGGTAATTTTTCCTTGTCGCGACAAGACTGGGTACAACTCTGGGTAGTGAATAGCCATTGGAACATGTTGGTTGTTACGTACAGAGAACTTAACCCATATACATAACCATCGGGCGGCTTTGAATCGATAAACACCTCATTGATGAAATCCATGGTAATGTGGGTCATGTAAGTGCATTGCATTTGGTAGTAATGTCGAAATCAGATGCATTTGATATGAGCTAGGTTGATAGGTACGAGCATAATAACCTGGCATTTAATGTTACCGGATAATGACAACACGAGAGAAAATAATATATACGTGTTGAGTAGGATTGACCTGTATAATATTGTGCAATAAAAAGGTTATAGTGGAATTAGATGTTTTGTCACCATAGTTATAAAAGATAGAGAAAATATTGTAAGCAAAATAATTCTTGCTCCATTTTGGAATAAATTAAAACTAAAGTTCGCTACAGCTGCTACAGTTCTGTCGTCGAACCAAACTTAAAACATGGAGCACTAAATGGCTTACAAAGATGTATGAATTGCAGTACAGTTCAATTGACTGAAGAAGCGAGTGTTCGGATCGCGAAATCTTACCATCACCATCATTTCAGCCACAAGACGTCCACTCTGAACATAGGCCTCCCCCAATGATTTACATATCGCCCGGTTGGAAGCGGCCTGCATCCAGCGCCTTCCTGCTACCTTTATGATGTCGTCGGTCCACCTTGTTGACGTCCAAAGCTGCGTTTTCCGGTACGTGGCCTCCACTCCAGAAGCTTGCTGCCCCTTTTCTTTCGTCACCCTAAATGAATCCTCTTTTGTTGCAGGTGTAGGATGAGTTTGCGACGGTGGTAGAGGGCAGGAGGGCGGCCGGATGTGGCCCCCGCGCGCCCGTCCGCCCGCCGCCTCCGTCACCTAGCGCGCTCGCCGCGCTGCGACTATGCGCATGGTCAGCGCCCTGCCCACTCTGCTCGCGGTGAGTCCCGTGTCCCCNCAAAAGGATTTTCCCGCTAATTCCCGTGCCCGTGGGAATTTCGGGTATTCCTTTCTTAATGCACTTCTACGGAACCTAAGCTACGTCCCTTCCAAATTTCTAGTGCTAAATTTGTAAACTATGAAGGGATATGTTTAATCATTAGTATAACATTAATAGCAGGGTTACCATCTGAAATCGGCTATTATTGGCTATTAATAAATAAATAAATAAATAAATATCCTTGGACATTTTACACTGCGCAGTCCCAAACTAAGCAAAGCTTGTACTATGGGTACTAGACAACGGATAAACATACTTATACATTTTTTTTTTTTTGTAAATACATACATATTATACATAGAAAACACCCAGTCCAATACAAACAAATATGTTCATGCACACAAATGTTTGTACTGTGCGGGAATCGAACCCGCAACCTCCGGAATAGAAGTCCGTTTCGAACCACTACACCAAACGGCCGACTAAATGGCTAGTAAGTCACATAGTAAGTCACACAACATTAACTATAATAATAAAGAAATCGCAGTAAGGAACCATAGACTTGGCACGACTTTGTCTAGATTTCATTACTTTTTAGAGATAAACAAGCAGCTCCATCGAGACTTGGCTAGTTTTTTACAGAATGTTTTTGGTGGGATTCCCATATACAAGTACTATCGGCTACAGTTCCAACTACCCATTTCCGTTTTTTTTCTCTCGCTCACATCAAATGTTGATTCTTTGCGATAGAACGAGACGACATGACTGGAAATGTAGCCGATAGTACTTTTCCTCCCTATTCATTTCAAGGAGATGTGGATTGGGTGCCTCAAGCGGAGGATCTGGCCTATCAGCGTCAGCTCCATTGCACATGCGCGCGGCCATCTTTGATTGTCGTTCTTCAATGGCCGCCTTTGGTGCGTCCAAAACTGATCTAGATGACAAAAAAGATTCTTCCTTGTTGGGAACTGCTGCAATTGGGTCATTGTATGCACTAGACCGTTGCCTCTTTTGATAAATCAGTGTTGTAGAGATGAATAAATTATGATTTATTGCAGAAATAAGTGTAGACCATGTACTTAGTAAGAAATGAAACGTAGTAGGTAATCGAAAATCAAAGTATCCACCACTTTAAGGCGTGGGTATCTCAATATAAGTAGTCAGTTCGTCACACACAGTATTTTTCTTATGCTTAACAAGGCAGGTATTTGACCGTTACCAGTCTAGGATGCTACATATCTGCCCTGTAAGTAAGTATCTATTCACTCTCGCCTTGAAAAGGCCCGGAATTATAGTGTTCAGGAAAGACAGCAGCAGGCAGCAAATTCCAGTCCCTAGCTGTTCACATTATAAAGAGTTATCTAGTTCGTATAGTCTGTACATGTGTACAACTCTGGGTAGTGAATAGCCATTGGAACATGTTGGTTGTTACGTACAGAGAACTTAACCCATATACGAGTACATAACCATCGGGCGGCTTTGAATCGATAAACACCTCCTTGATGAAATCCATGGTAATGTGGGCCATGTAAGTGCATTGCATTTGGTAGTAATGTCGAAATCAGATGCATTCGATATGAGCTAGGTTGATAGGTACGAGCATAATAACCTGGCATTTAATGTTACCGTATAATGACAACACGAGAGAAAATAACACACCAGACGTGTTGGTTGAGTAGGATTGACCTGTATCGAATATTGTGCAATAAAAAGGTTATAGTGGAATTAGATGTATTGTCACCATAGTTATAAAATATAGAGAAAATATTGTAAGCAAAATAATTCTTGCTCCATTTTGGAATAAACTAAAACTGAAGTTCGCTATAGCTGCTGCATTAGTTCTGTCGTCGAAACAAACTTAAAACATGCAGCACTAAATGGCTTACAAAGGTGTATGGATTGCAGTACAGTTCAATTGGCTGAAGCGAGTGTTCGGATCGCGAAATCTTACTCACCATAATTTCAGCCACAAGACGTCCACTCTGAACATAGGCCTCCCCCTCAGATCATAGAAAGAGAATAGATATGAAGTCGCGCGTAACTACAACGAGAACCAGTGTCCCCACATTTCCCCCACCACAGCTCCCACACACACATTCAACTGTGTAAAAACAAAGCGACTGAGAGTCTACGACAACATGTGCAACCGGCTTAAAAGTGCTGTGATTGGCCAGAAGGCGTGCCTTATGGCCAATCAATGGCCGCGTGACGTGACGCACACTTTGAAAACTAGTGAGAGAACAAAGATAAAATGAAGTCGACAAGATATCGATACTTTAAATCGCTAGGGGCAAGGCTCAAAACTGGTTTCACAAAATGCTTATGTATGAAAACCTTTTTATTATTATACGTTATTATTAACTACTATCACGCATTTACTTTTTAACCGCTTGAGTCCCAGACGGCATCAATTAATGTCATAACAATTGATTATCTATTGTATCTAGATTCGCGGGCCTTGAAGGATTAATTATGGCGATCTGCGTACCGCATATGTTTATCAAAAATAATGCCTATATTAGGCTTTCAACTAGCTCTTATAGTAATTACATAGTTGACAGTTACTAATTACTTCTNCCCCCGCGCGCCCGTCCGCCCGCCGCCTCCGTCACCTAGCGCGCTCGCCGCGCTGCGACTATGCGCATGGTCAGCGCCCTGCCCACTCTGCTCGCGGTGAGTCCCGTGTCCCCCTCGTGACTCTGTGTCCCCCTCGTGATCATGGATCTCTCTTTTGAGCCCGTGTGTCCTTCCTAATCCTGTGTCCCGTGGTACCCTCCGTCACCTAGCGCGCTCGCCGCGCTGCGACTATGCGCATGGTCAGCGCCCTGCCCACTCTGCTCGCGGTGAGTCCCGTGTCCCCTTTGTGGCCCCGTGTCCCTCTAGTGGCCCCGTGTCCCCCTCATAACCCTGGGTCCCTCTTGTGAGTCCGTGTGCTTTTCGTAATCCTCTATCCCCTGGTACCCTCTGTCCCCTGGTACTCTCTGTCCCTGGTACCCTCTGTCCCCTGGTACCCTCCGTCACCTAGCGCGCTCGCCGCGCTGCGACTATGCGCATGGTCAGCGCACTGTACACTCTGCTCGCGGTGAGTCCCGTGTCCCCCTAGTGACCCCGTGTCCCCCGGTACCCTCGCATCCCTCTGAGGGCAGCTGGATGTGGCCCCCGCGTCCGTCCGCACGTCGTCTCCGTCACCTAGCGCGCTCGCCGCGCTGCGACTATGCGCATGGTCAGCGCCCTGCCCACTCTGCTCGCGGTGAGTCCCGTGTCCAAACATAATATCAGTGTGTGTTTAAGTGGAATTACTGCACATATACTATGTGCAAGGTGAACTTAACAATTGTAGAAACATAATAAGGATGATGTAATTGGCACATACTGCACTATTACTGTGTAGCAAATTAAGTAAGCGCGAGTATTCACGTAATATTAAGTTATTATGTGCTCTTACTGCTAACATAGTACGTGAAGAAACCTACAATCTGCTCTTTACTGCGTTTATGATAATATGTATCTTCCGTTCTAAGATAGATAGAAAAAAACGGGTCTTTGATTCTTATAGATCGCGATGTCAGGATTCAGAATATTCAAAACAATCATAAATGCAGTAAGTGGTACTTACTGCGTTTATAAATTGTGCGGCAGCAGTTGTGCGCTGCTCGTTGAATTCGCGGACTCGCCTCTACACAACACAATCTCCCGGCATTCTAGGTGCTGTGCTACCAAACCTTCCCATTGTGATTTGAGAGGGCTCATTTTGCATCTTTTCATATGCTGCTTCTGGACATCTTTGTACTTGACTATTTGAGGAGTTGACCGCCATGTTTCCGCTTACCCTCCAAGTTCAAAGTAGAAGATTGATTCCTACTACGCTTATTGAGGACGAAAGACGCAAGAGGACAAAGTGACTGACATAGCCCACAGAATCGCTAAAATCAAGTGGCAGTGGGCGGGGCACATATCTCGTAGAGCTGATGGCCGCTGGGGCAGCAAAGTTTTTGAGTGGCGACCACGAGCCGGAAAACGTAGCGTGGGCAGGCCTCCCACTAGGTGGACCGACGATTTGGGTAAGGTCGCAGGAAGTGCCTGGATGCAAGCGGCGAAGGACGTCTTTCGGCTGAAACGAAAGAACTAACGCTAAGAGATCTCTCTATCGAGGGCTAAGCTAGAGAAATAGCCAAAATGGACCCTCGTNCCGTCGGCTCAAGGGCTAAGGGCGGGGACTTTTGCTATGTTCACCTCCTAACTAGTATAAATAAAGTCCTGAAGTCAAATTGTGTTCTACAGTTTTCCATCTATAATGCTTTATTGACTGGACTATTTTGATAAGATTTTTTACATGCATTCCATTCAGAAACTTTATGGGATAAAAATCACAGCATTCATTGAGGTTACAAAAGAACTTAGTTCAGCAAAAATAGAGTCATACCTACACTTTGAATCCTTGACTTGACTTGTCTTGGTCACATTATCATTATCATCGCGTCGTGAGAGCTTGAACACAAACACAATAATATCAGGATGAAAACAATGATATAAGGATGAGCCGACAAAATGTACTAGACATTTCGTAAAGTAATGTATTAGATACTTCTTTCAATTTCTTTTGCCAAACAAATTACTTTTCTGCTCAACTTAAAGGTAAACTGGTCGATAATGCTATAGTGCATTAAGTTCGCATAAGTACAAATTTAAAGGTTTAAATAAATAAATAAAAATACTTGGCTTGGCATTAAAGCTGAGATAAAACACCTACAGTATAATTTTATACTATGTCTAATTGTCTATGTGTCACTTCCAACCATAGACTAAGTTGCAGATAAGGCTCTGGATTAAACAGACCATAAAGTTTAGAGCACCTTTGACACAAAGCGAAAGAGCACTAACCGTGCCGTAAACTTAACAAAGTAGTTTTAGTTCAACTCATTATTATTTCAAACGCTTCCCGTTTTGACCTGACTCAAGTTTGTTGCCTACTCTATTAAAGTAGTCTGTAACAAAGCATCATTATTTTA